AAACAACCCTTCTTATGCTCTTGGCATCATTTTCCCTTAGGAAACCAATAGTTGTAGCTATTAAAACATAGCCCATTAGACAACTTTGCTATATTGTTGAGATAAAAATTATTTTTGCTCTCTTTAAAGTAGAGGCGCTGCTTTCATTTGTAGCTACTCCACAAATCAAGGTGGGCATTCAAGAAATATTGCTGCAGCATATTGCTGAGAAATATTTTCAAATAAAAATTCAGTGATAGACTTGTTTTTCCGAATGTTTGTACCTTTCCCTTCTTCACATTCGATTTCCTTTCTTAACACAGCTTGTTCTTTGTCAGCTTTTTTTGAAAATCTAACGATCTGTGCAAGCAGTGGCATAAAATTTCTAGCATGAATTTTTCAAATTAGATATTTGTTGCTAAAAGGCTGATTGGACCCCTTACATGTTCTACATCTGTCACAATATCTCTTTATGTCACTGAAAATTTTTCAATATAAGCGTTAGTTTAGCTGGTAGTTTTCTAATAATTCATTTTTACAGAACTTTATTCAAATGTTTGAGATTACAAAGTCATTAAAAGCATCATTAGCAAGTTTTCTATGCCCAAGGGTGAATCCATAGTCAAATCTGACTGATTTTAAAAGAAGAACATAACAAACATACATGGACTGGATCAGAAGGGTGTGGTCGCAAAAATGACTTTTTGTAAATTGTGTAAACAATATGGCAATTCTGTATACGAGCATCAGGATAAAAATTTTAGTGGTTTCTTAAAATAAAAACTTTAAACATGAAATTTGCAGGGAAAGGATAATAGTGTAGGTACGTATCTTGTTTTGCAAATAAAAGAACAAACATTTCTAGAGACGTAGTATTTGAATGTTTGCTCTAAATAAGTATCGAAAATCCTAACAAAGATATCTAGATAGTGAAATTGGCAAGATAGTGCTTTAATATTGAAGTCTTGTTTGTTTAAACGCTTTAATAAATAGATAATTCAATTGGAAAAAATTGTCAATTTATTGTTATGATGGCTAAGATATTTTTCCAACTTGATCAAGTTTAGGAAAATAATCGAAGGAAAGAAAAAGCTAAGTTAGGGTCTCATTGACAAGGTTTTCTACCCACAATCTGGCATACTGGTAATCTCAAAAGGCCATGCTAACATTTGCATGGTCCCGGGTCTAGGCGTAGACGGGTCTTCCCTAACGGCAAGAGTGGAAGTCTAAATATTTTATTTGTGAAAACTGAGAAATAGAAACTTCAACAGTTCTGAAAAATCAAATGAAAGATGATAACTTTACCTCTAAACCCACAAAAAATTCAATCAATATTCCGAACAAATATATTGATCATTAAATATAGAAAAATCAAAGCTTTCTGCTCAGTTTTTATATTTACGTCCCTAATCATAGAAGTACTTCCTTCAACTTCTTCCAACTGATTGTTCATTCTTTCCTTTGATTTAAGGCTATAAGCCAAGCAAAATTTGGTAGGAAACAAATATATTACCACTAATATTCGTTGAAATAATACGATCAATAAAAGTGGTTCATTTTTAAACCTAATGTCTGATATACTGGACGTAGCACCGTCCTGTCGTCCATTATTTTGCGCTTCTCTTTTGATTTGTGTTTTTTATAAAAATGTCTCATAAAACCATATATTTGAAAGTAATGCACTTTATCAAGAAATTATCTGAAACAGGATATCAGTGGACGATTTATCTCGACAGTATATTTTGCAAATGTTTATTCCAGCCATTTTTCAATTGTGTAAAAAAATAAAATTGTAAGCTTTTTCTTCCTTTTTAGAAATGTAGCATTGCAATGCTTGTCAAACTAACCATTGCTGAAATTATACTTTTGCTAGATGAACCTGCAGCATTTATAATGACGACAGTCAATAAACATTGCATTATTCTAGAAAGCAAATTGTTCTTGATATTTTGCTGAGCTCGTTCTTACAAATGGCTATTCAACCTATATTGATGACACTGTGTCATCTCAGTATGATATCACACAAACAGGAAGATAATTTAGTAAAATTTAGCTATTTAAAATGGTTGCCCTTAAGGTCTTTACATGATTTGAATTTTCTGTAAATGTGCTTTTCATTTTCCTTAAATCTGGGTTTTGTTTCATATTTTTGACTAGAGTGCATAAAGCATGCTCAGATTTGGTGATCATTTGATAATATAACAATGTTAATTTGTAGGATATTAATTTCACCGTGAAAGTTCACGATATTTCATTTCATCTATTTTGCCCAAATAAGCATAGCTAACATTTTAAACATCCAGAAACTATTGTATAATCTAATAGTTTCAAATAAGCCCATTTTATTAAGAAGTATTCAAGTTTCTAAATGTTTTGGACAATTTCAATACTCATTGTTTCCTTATATTTTACAAAAAGTGACGTCATATAATCAAAATTGAGTTCCTTAGGAATAATCCCGACAGAAACTGCTTGGGGAGGGATTTTATAGTTCCAAACAATGTGACTTGTCGATGTTCCTATCAATTTTTAAAAGTTCAGTGACATTTCTGTCAAAAGATTTACCTCCGTTCAAATACTGTTTTTAGATGAGGGAAGTGTATTCTTAATCTTTGTGTCCAAATTTTGATGTCCATCAGACAATAATTTTGATAAATTTCTTAGATTTTTCCGAGTCTTCCTGGACCTTTTCAAAATTTTATTGCTTCTTCATTATTTTGATTTGAGTAATGGAGTTTTTTAATTTTTCTGATTGCCCGGTACTCGTTTCTTATAAAATAAGAGAGTAAATAACCACATCACCTGTTCAAAAAGACAGATCTACTGACGTGGTAAGACTTGAATTAAATCTAACGAAATTTTGTAACAAACAAAATGAGGGAAATAAAGACGTTACTCGACAGTCAAAGTCTGTTCATTTTTTGTTTTCATGACATCCCAAACTAACGTCAAATTGCATCTTCATAGCTACAAATTGCTTCTAAAATATACCATAGAGGGGTGAAATTGGTTCTTTATTCTTTTTTTATTTTTTCTTTATTCAATTACCGCTATTTACAAGTTGCTAATAAAATATGAAATTCGATTTTTCCTCTGCTTAGTGAAACATTAAAGACTTTTAATACTTAATCTCCTTAATTCAAAGCTTTCATCTTTCTCAACAAGAAATTCTTCAGAATAATTATTATTGGTGGATTTTGCAAAAAATAGATTCTAGATAACCCTGAAAAATATTTGATCTAGCAGAATCTTTAGACCCCCCTGACATGAGAAATTTCAGGTCGGTGCTCACATGAGAGAAGGCGAAATGAAAATCAGGTCGACCTGAGTTTATTTCGGTTGTTCAGGTCGGTCTGAAATTTCAGGTCGACTTGAAATCCGCATGTGTGCAGAAGAGAATTTCAAATCGGGGCGAAATGAAACTCGTGGAGAAAAATAAATTGCGCTCTGGGATGCACGCTTAATGATTTTGGTGCCGTTTGACCATTGAATTGAATCTAACATTCTAAGTATCTGCACAAAACACGACTTTTTCTTCTTTAGCAAGATTGATTTTCTGATGAAGATGGCTTATTTGAGAAATAAGTTGAGGAAGCAAAACAAAAAGAAGTTGCAAAGCAGAGACTAATCAACCAAAATCGATTTCAATACTGATATAAAATATGAATTATTTTGCGCCATGTTTGTTTTGAACTGAATTGGCAATAAATGCGGATGTGCGAAAGCCTGTTGAATTTCAAGCCGGTTGGAAAATGTTCATGTGAGCGGGAGTCAAATAAGCACGCACCATCAAATTTCAAGCTGATCTGAGTTTCAGACCGGCCTGAAATTGTTCATGTGAGGGGGGTCTTAGTAGACACAAACTTTCATAACATGATAAGCAATACGTCGATTATTAATCAGATCTTGAATTCTACTATATACCTTATTTATTAGATTATTAGCGGCTCTTGTGTATAAGCCAATCTCAATAGTAAGTTTGGTAAAAAAAAGATTGACGCAAACGCTGATAAAAATGATAAATATTTTTTGCAAAATATATACCCAGTTGTGGATCAAAATAGGCCAATCAAAATAACGCAAGCACAAGACCGGTACTATGGTGTGCAATAAGTAATTTATCACGGCTATGTAAATTGAATAATTACCGTTTTGAAGACGTAACTATCAAGCAAGTGTTATTTATGCATTTTCGTGTCAATTGCTATCAAAAATATTCGATTTAATGCCATTCAAAAAATCTTTGTGACGCAATTTGAAGACGCCGTAGCATTTCTCAGTGGCTCTTGCACATTTGGAAAAAGCATTTTTGTGACCACACCCCTAGACCCAGCATTTGTTTGTTTCTTATTTTCTTCTTTGTAAAGTAGTCAGATTTAACTCTGGACCGCTATTGAGAACGACTTTCAAATCTTAAATATTTATGACTAAAATTCTTTAGAATTTAATAATTACAAAATATGCTGCCAAGGAAACGTTTATGTTAAAAATTTAGCAGTGGCCTATTGGGTTCTTGTAGCAGATATAGACTAAGTAAGCGCTTTAGCAACCAATATCTAATTTGAAGACTTAAAGCTAGAAAAAAGATATAAGTTGACAATGTGTGATGATATCTATACCATTTTACAGTTTTACTATTGCACAGTATGATGTTCAATAAGTAACTTAACACGTCTATGTTTATTCCAAAGGTGCATTCAAGTCTCTGCATTTGAAGTGTACTATAATCATTTTGTTGGAAAAGATAATGTAACAACAGCTGCAATAACAATAAGATGAATCATTAAAAATAAACCAAATTTGGCTTAAAGTGAAAGTGCAGAATTCACATGAATTTTCTTTTAATATGCAACAACATGAAAAGATCTAGTGCAAAGTGCCCAAAAGCTTTTCATGATTGCTTAGCTCTGAAGCTATATACAATATGATACGAGGAAATACTGCAATAGGTCAAAATCTCTATTCCAATGGACCCATACATTGAAACCTTTGCCACATGAAACAAAGAGATCACTGCGCCTCAAATTTTCTGGAATGGTCAGATTTTTTCGGCAAGAATTTATGAGAAATGATCAAAATCTAACTTTCGAACAAATAATATTTACTTCTGGCACATCTGTAGCCATAATTACTTTACCTCTATTATATTAAAGAGCTTGCCTTGCTATGTGGAGTGGCTATAGGTGAAAAGAAGCTTCTCTTCTTCAAAGAGAGCAAACGTTAATTTTATCTCTACAATAGAGCTACAATAGAGGTTGTGTTAAGAGCTATTTCTAGTGGCTAATTGAGGCCAAAAGCATAAGAAGGGATCCTTTGCTTCTGCAAAGAAAAGAAAGCAGCCTATAGCTGAGCAACTACTTTAAAGAATTGAATTATGACGAAATGCAGGGCAATTTAAACAGTTTACTCATTTAATCGCAAGATATTTTCTTGGGTAACACAATCCACTCGTTTGTTTTGATCTTTTATAAAAATTGTTAACGGTGGCGTAATTATGAGGTACTTATGTCGATATGGGAGCCCCAATTATAATTTTTCGGCTAGGTCCTCAAAATTATCAATGCAGCCCTGATTAAAGTAATCACAAAAAATTGAATCAAGGGTAGTATATTCCAATCCAATGTTGAGTGGTGCTGCTGGCATTGGCAGTGCACCTAAATGCTGAGTTTATGCCATAATAGAATCCAAAATTATCTTCAGTTAAAACGGATCCTTCTCTTGCTTGCAAAAAATTGGTATTTTCTTGAGAGTCAATGTGAAGATGGGCATTTTCAGGTTGCCAAAAGTTGACCAATTGATCTTTAGCGATGTGCCCTCTAATGTTTACCAACTCAACAAGTTTAGGCGATGCATTTACGTAACAGCAAAGAGGATCAAATGCAGAGAGTTTGAATCTGGCATAATCTCGATAATCAATACCAAAAATATCGAAACTGCATGTTGCTCTCCAGTGGGTTGATGTTGACTTGATTTTCTCCATCCTTGTCTTGCTGAGTCTAGAAAGGTGTAAAACAAAAAATTAATAAGTTTGATGATTGTTTCAGCTGCGCTAAAATACGGTAGAGACACCCTCTCTTACTTTTGTTAGAACTATAGAAAAAATGGATTTGAAAGTTGCTGAAAATTCAGATCACACAAATCCATATCTTAATATACATTTATCACTTTTTCAAAGAAATATCTTTATTGGTGGTTGAGCTGTCGAAAGTTGCTTGATCATTGCATAACATATCTTCGAAATCTCCTCTATTAGAATGTCTGAAGAAAAGTTTGTTTCACGAATTCACTCATAAAAAGAATATCGATCAAAATACTTGGTACTCCCTTTACATAGTCAGACGAAGCTCTTTAAAATTTTTGAGGATGTAATATAGGTAATTACATGAACTTCTAAAAAGAACACTTAGTGCCTCCCCTCAGTCGTAGTCTAAAGGATGAAAAAGTATTCCCTTGCACAACACTTTCATTGAAATTTAAAGCATGCAACTGTAAGAAGACCTAACCTGTAATTGTCCCAGTTTGGAGAATCTTCCAAGTACGGAAAATCAATTGTGAATGGCCAGTCTTTGAACAGATGATTTTTACCCAAAGAGAACGATTCGATCAGGGTCCATACAGAGTTTGGCTCTGATGTGAAATCGCAGTAAACGTTGAATTCGCCCCCGTCATCATCTGATATTCTGTATATCCCATTAATCATTGCAGAGTCGTATCGCCAATCAAGACAGGAATATTTTCCTTTTAGTAGAAATTCAAGAAGAAAATAAAATCATTAGCGAATTGTATAGAATGCATTAAAATCTCAAAATGCAAGGAAAACCGATTTTTTTTGAATGGCTTCGCACTTCAATGTATTTAAAGCGAATTGTAGCGAATCACCTTTTCTTAATAAGCAGAACATGGATTATTGTTTTACAATTTCAATTATCAAATTAAAAACATTGATATATAAACAGCCAATTATAAATTAAAATCTTTAAAACCAGGGATAAACTTTATACTCTTGAAAATCCTGAAAAATTCCATAGGAGAATTCTAGGCAACTAAGAAAGCCCTAGAGTCCACAATTTTTATTATTGAAAAACCCTATCACTTTGCTATTAATAAATATTAAAACCAAACTGGGTTATATGCTTCTTAAGTAATATCAATCCTTATATTATGTTTCAGAAGAGGTTAACTAAAACTTTACTGTATGAAAATTGAAAATACTTTTTCTTTTCCATATTATCAGCTTTCTCCGGTCTTGAGTTATATCTCCTTCCTTATTGTGTGTTTCATACTTGTTTGTTGTCATATCCTTCACCACAAAATTGCACGGACTACTTTTACTACATTGATGAAACGATTTATGAAACATGCTGGTCAGTTCCATATATGGGTTGTGAATAACTTCGAACATTGCTGAGCCTCGATTATCCTCCCCGTGGATTACTTGGCTCAAAGTAAGCACAAGTAGACAACGTGTCAGGAAAACATATTTTCTTGTTGGCATTTTCTGCAAAGTAAACGAGATATTTATATGAAGCAAAAACTCTTAATATTTGTATCACTTTGGTGACTTATTATTGGAACTTCTACAAAACGTGATATCTTCCTAGATCAAAATTCAATGTGCTTTTTATCAATAACCTGAACCTTGATTTGATTTCCAAAGTTGTATTCATAGACGGTTCTTTCTGGACTGAAAGTGTTCTTCGTGAAATCTTTCCTTTCATGAATGACAAAGGTCCATTATCTTTCTTTATCCTAATGGTATTTCAAAGATGTTAGATGTGAAGCAATTCATTCAGATGTGACAGTCCACATAGCTTTCATTCCTCACACCCTTTAACTAGCTACATCTGATTATTCACGGATACACTTCAGTAACATACCGATTAAATAAATGCCGTTATGCCAGACTTTTTCATATGTTCGTCGGTAGGAATTCTTGCACGGACATTTGATCGTTTTTAACAGAGCTGCCAATTCTATTGAATGTACTATGTCCGGATTCAATTCAATGGCCATGAGATATCCAGTTATTTAGCTATCTGATAGGCCCGTCCCAAACGTCAAACTTCTTCTATGCCGAACTATTTCTTTGGTGCCACTCCCGTTGCAAACGTCGATCTTCATTGTTCCGCTCGCCGGGCTTAAGTTTATGGATTTCAGATTTGATTGCGGACATTTAATATGGCCCGAAAACATGCGTTTTACATTTGTGAGGAGATTGCTGATGGAATCCAGAAAGAATTGAAGATTGGCAGAGGCAAGATTGAAGATTATAGTGAAGCAAAGAAGAAGGAGAGTTTTAGTGGTGCTACTTGTTGTCTTGTTCTCGACAGCAGCCCAATAATGGAGGCAAAGAGGACATGCGGAAGACTTCAACGCAACCAGTACTGGTTGAATATCGTCTGGAAAATGATACTTAGTGGCAAGAGAGGAAACAAAACAGAACTTCTCATATGCAGACGCCATCTTGGCTTTATTGATTCCAGGTTGATTCACGCCGAAATTCAGTTATAGGCATGATTTGCCACAAAAGTGATTTCTGGGATATAAAATAAATTATGCATTGAGTTCGGTACATGAAAAGCCCAGTTGCGCTTTGCTTGCGTAGCTCGTCAAGTTCTGCCAAGCGCAAATTTTTCTGCCGCCTCTAATTAAATTAGCCGTGCCTATCTGATTTAAACGTCGCACTTCGCATTCACTTAAAGACTCTTGAGCAACCGTCATGCTTAGCGGGTGTTGTATTTCATATATTCATACTTAATTCATAATTCATATATTTCATATTTCTATATCATGTTGTCTTGAGAAATTGACTATGTTTTGTATTTTCATGCAGTACTATTATAGACCGGTTCTTTAAATTAAAGTCGCAAAGCTTGCCAGTTGCGCAAGAGCCTTTAATTCTCGATTTAAGTTCGGCAGGTGAGAAAGTCGAAAGACGAATGCGTAAATTTTTTGTATTTGTTGCTACCTAGCATCCGAAGGTAGTTTTTAGAACACTGAGAAGCTTATGCTTATCGAGCAGTGTCCTGGTCCATCCTCTCGATGTGACCACACCTCGTGATTCCTACGCCTGGAATTACAGAGAGCTGGCGACTCTCCCCACTCTGGGTGAAAGTTTGGTCATGCCAGGGACTCGAACCACGGACCCTTGGGTCTGTAATCAGCGCCTCTAACAACTGCACCAACAAATGCGTAACTTAATGTCTATCATCAACTCGGACTCGGAAGCCACTCTTGACGATTGACTAACGGAACATTGAGCATCTTGAATTTTTATCTAAAATTTCAATTACGACTATTGCTGTATTTCTTCCTGTCCCACAACAGTTCATTTGTTTACATACTGAATTGAATCCCAACACAACTGCTTAATTACGTAAGCACAGCTCTCCCTTGTTGCAAATATTCCGATAAAGTTTCCAGCTTTCTAATTCATCTTTTATCCCAACGTATCCGAATAACTTGAACTGACAGTTTTGAGTCTGCCATCTTTGCTCCAATATTGAACCCGGTGGCGCCATATCTCAAAAGTGTGGACGCTTTGATACAAAATGATACAAATGGATTACGGATGCAAATGAGATTCTGAGGTTTTGCATTGAGGGACTAGACTTTCTTTCTCGGAAAAATTCATGAAAATTTGAATTGAAGTTTCAAGTAGAGGATCAAAGGCCACGCTGAACGGAGAAATATTTTTGACATTTTAGGTAAAGGGAGGACAAATTAATCACAGTTAACTAACCTCGTAATTTTTCACTACCAGTGCAACTTTTAGCAATATTATGTACCATTGACACATTTGGCCGTAATGGAGTGAAGCACCCAGAAGCCGGTCAAAATCTTGGCTAAATCCAAGCCTGTGATTAGTTATATGAAAGTCTTTCCATTCCTGTTTACGAATCTGTTTGTTCAGCGCAATATTTTATGGTATTACGCTTGTGTTCATTGTGAATACAATAATACTTGAAGCAGCAATAAACAAAATGAAATGTAATGTTCTATTGTTAGAAATACTCGAGCTTTTCACACAATTAAAGTCAGTGGGTAAGAAAGTTTTGAGCCTGATGTTAAACTGTAAAAGGAATGCATTTCAAAGCATATAGAGAGTATGAGGAATTAAAGTAAAATTCGGAGATGTTGACTTACCAGCAACTCTCTTCAATGCGAAAACAAGACGTAGATTTCGCCTGATTTAGAAATGCGTATCACTGGCCCCGCGTCGTCAACTTGGTCTGAGATACTGAGCACTGGAGCTTTATAATTGGCTGTTTGTTTTTCAATCTTTTTTAATTTGAAGATTGAAATCATAAAAAAATAATCCATGTTCTGCTTATTAAGAAAAGGTGATTCGTTAAAATTCGCTTCAAATAGGAAGCTGAAAGTGCGAAACCAATCAAAAAAAATTCGGTTTTCCTTGCACCTTGAGATTTTAAATGCATTCCATACAATTCACTAATTTATTATTTTCTTGAATTTCTAATCGAATCGTTCTCTTTGGGTGAAAATGATCTGTTCACAGACAAACCATTCAAATTGATTTTCCGCGCTTGGAAGATTCTTACAAAATTAATTACAGTTTAAGTCTTCTTACTGTTGTATGTTTTAAATTTTTATGAAACTGTTGGGCAAGAAAACAGGTTTTGTACATTTTAGACGTCAACGAAGGGGAGGCACTAAGGGCCTTTTTAGAAGTTTTTGTAATTACTCATATTACATTTCCAAACTTATATTAAAAAATCTGAAAGAGCCTCGTCTGACTTTGTTAAGGTACTACTGCTGAATGAAAAGCAACAATGAAAGTGCTTTTGGCGTTTATAAACAATCGTTAAATTTTTTTCCTAAAGACAATAATTTCAAAAACATGATTGATGAATTTGTTTATATAATATATAAAAATATGAATTTACTTGATTAGTTATTTTAGAAACTTTCAATTCCAATTTTTTCTAAGTTCCAAAAAGAGTAAGAGCGGGTGTTTCTACGGTATCTTTAGCACTACTGAAAAAACCCCCGGAAACAATCGATATTTTTCTTAATTCGTAGTTATACATCTTTTTAGACTCAGCAAGACAAGGATCGAGAAAATCATGTCAAGATCAACCCACTGGAGAGCAACATGCAGTTTCGATATTTTTGGTATTGATTATCGAGATTACATCAGATTCAAACTTTCTGCATTTGATCCTCTTTGCTGTCATATAAATGCATCTCCTAAACATGTAAAACTTGTAATCGTTAGAGGGTACAGCGTTACGGAGTAAATAGTTGATTTTTGGCAAAATGAGGGAGAACATCTTCACATTGATTCGACTTTGGGTGTACACTTTCAGCATGCAAGGCACGGATCTATATGTGGCGAGGATAATTTTGGACTCTATTTATTCAGAAACGAAGCATTTAGGTGCACTGCCAATGCCAGCAGCACCATTCAACATTGGATTGGAATTAACTACCCTTGATTCAATTTTTCGTAATTATTGTAATCAGGGTTGATAATTTGAATTGAATTGAGAATTGAGTTCAGATAAATTGAGAATTTCGAGGATCTGGCCATAAGATATAATACGACGACATAATTAAACAACAAGCGGGTGTTAACATAAGAAGATTTATCTTAATATTAAGTAAGTAAACTGCTTAACGTGAAAAGTTTTCCTGCAATATAGGCGGCTTTCCTGTCTTTGCAGAAGCAAACAACCCTTCTTATGCTCTTGGCATCATTTTCCCTTAGGAAACCAATAGTTGTAGCTATTAAAACATAGCCCATTAGACAACTTTGCTATATTGTTGAGATAAAAATTATTTTTGCTCTCTTTAAAGTAGAGGCGCTGCTTTCATTTGTAGCTACTCCACAAATCAAGGTGGGCATTCAAGAAATATTGCTGCAGCATATTGCTGAGAAATATTTTCAAATAAGAATTCAGTGATAGACTTGTTTTTCCGAATGTTTGTACCTTTCCCTTCTTCACATTCGATTTCCTTTCTTATCACAGCTTGTTCTTTGTTAGCTTTTTTTGAAAATCTAACGATCTGTGCAAGCAGTGGCATAAAATTTCTAGCATGAATTTTTCAATTTAGATATTTTTTGCTAAAAGGCTGATTGGACCCCTTACATGTTCTACATCTGTCACAATATCTCTTTATGTCACTGAAAATTTTTCAATATAAGCGTTAGTTTAGCTGGTAGTTTTCTAATAATTCATTTTTACAGAACTTTATTCAAATGTTTGAGATTACAAAGTCATTAAAAGCATCATTAGCAAGTTTTCTATGCCCAAGGGTGAATCCATAGTCAAATCTGACTGATTTTAAAAGAAGAACATAACAAACATACATGGACTGGATCAGAGGGTGTGGTCGCAAAAATGACTTTTTGTAAATTGTGTAAACAATATGGCAATTCTGTATACGAGCATCAGGATAAAAATTTTAGTGGTTTCTTAAAATAAAAACTTTAAACATGAAATTTGCAGGGAAAGGATAATAGTGTAGGTACGTATCTTGTTTTGCAAATAAAAGAACAAACATTTCTAGAGACGTAGTATTTGAATGTTTGCTCTAAATAAGTATCGAAAATCCTAACAAAGATATCTAGATAGTGAAATTGGCAAGATAGTGCTTTAATATTGAAGTCTTGTTTGTTTAAACGCTTTAATAAATAGATAATTCAATTGGAAAAAATTGACAATTTATTGTTATGATGGCTAAGATATTTTTCCAACTTGATCAAGTTTAGGAAAATAATCGAAGGAAAGAAAAAGCTAAGTTAGGGTCTCATTGACAAGGTTTTCTACCCACAATCTGGCATACTGGTAATCTCAAAAGGCCATGCTAACATTTGCATGGTCCCGGGTCTAGGCGTAGACGGGTCTTCCCTAACGGCAAGAGTGGAAGTCTAAATATTTTATTTGTGAAAACTGAGAAAAAAGAAATTTCAACAGTTCTGAAAAATCAAATGAAAGATGATAACTTTACCTCTAAACCCACAAAAAATTCAATCAATATTTCGAACAAATATATTGATCATTAAATATAGAAAAATCAAAGCTTTCTGCTCAGTTTTTATATTTACGTCCCTAATCATAGAAGTACTTCCTTCAACTTCTTCCAACTGATTGTTCATTCTTTCCTTTGATTTAAGGCTATAAGCCAAGCAAAATTTGGTAGGAAACAAATATATTACCACTAATATTCGTTGAAATAATACGATCAATAAAAGTGGTTCATTTTTAAACCTAATGTCTGATATACTGGACGTAGCACCGTCCTGTCGTCCATTATTTTGCGCTTCTCTTTCGATTTGTGTTTTTTATAAAAATGTCTCATAAAACCATATATTTGAAAGTAATGCACTTTATCAAGAAATTATCTGAAACAGGATATCAGTGGACGATTTATCTCGACAGTATATTTTGCAAATGTTTATTCCAGCCATTTTTCAATTGTGTAAAAAAATAAAATTGTAAGCTTTTTCTTCATTTTTAGAAATGTAGCATTGCAATGCTTGTCAAACTAACCATTGCTGAAATTATACTTTTGCTAGATGAACCTGCAGCATTTATAATGACGACAGTCAATAAACATTGCATTATTCTAGAAAGCAAATTGTTCTTGATATTTTGCTGAGCTCGTTCTTACAAATGGCTATTCAACCTATATTGATGACACTGTGTCATCTCAGTATGATATCACACAAACAGGAAGATAATTTAGTAAAATTTAGCTATTTAAAATGGTTGCCCTTAAGGTCTTTACATGATTTGAATTTTCTGTAAATGTGCTTTTCATTTTCCTTAAATCTGGGTTTTGTTTCATATTTTTGACTAGAGTACATAAAGCATGCTCAGATTTGGTGATCACTTGATAATATAACAATGTTAATTTGTAGGATATTAATTTCACCGTGAAAGTTCACGATATTTCATTTCATCTATTTTGCCCAAATAGGCATAGCTAACATTTTAAACATCCAGAAACTATTGTATAATCTAATAGTTTCAAATAGGCCCATTTTATTAAGAAGCGATGGTTCAAGCTAAGTATTCAAGTTTCTAAATGTTTTGGACAATTTCAATACTCATTGTTTCCTTATATTTTACAAAAAGTGACGTCATATAATCAAAATTGAGTTCCTTAGGAATAATCCCGACAGAAACTGCTTGGGGAGGGATTTTATAGTTCCAAACAATGTGACTTGTCGATGTTCCTATCAATTTTTAAAAGTTCAGTGACATTTCTGTCAAAAGATTTACCTCCGTTCAAATACTGTTTTTAGATGAGGGAAGTGTATTCTTTTTCTTTGTGTCCAAATTTTGATGTCCATCAGACGATAATTTTGATAAATTTCTTAGATTTTTCCGAGTCTTCCTGGACCTTTTCAAAATTTAATTGCTTCTTCATTATTTTGATTTGAGTAATGGAGTTTTTTAATTTTTCTGATTGCCCGGTACTCGTTTCTTATAAAATAAGAGAGTAAATAACCACATCACCTGTTCAAAAAGACAGATATACTGACGTGGTAAGCCTTGAATTAAATCTAACGAAATTTTGTAACATACAAAATGAGGGAAATAAAGACGTTACTCAACAGTCAAAGTCTGTTCATTTTTTGTTTTCATGACATCCCAAACTAACGTCAAATTTCATCTTCATAGCTACAAATTGCTTCTAAAATATACCATAGAGGGGTGAAATTGGTTCTTTATTCTTTTTTTATTTTTTCTTTATTCAATTACCGCTATTTACAAGTTGCTAATGAAATATGAAATTCGATTTTTCCTCTGCTTAGTGAAACATTAAAGACTTTTAATACTTAATCTCCTTACTTCAAAGCTTTCATCTTTCTCAACAAGAAATTCTTCAGAATAATTATTATTGGTGGATTTTGCACAAAATAGATTCTAGATAACCCTGAAAAAGGTTTGATCTAGCAGAATCTTTAGACCCCCCTCACATGAGAAATTTCAGGTCGGTCTAAACTCAGATCGACTTGTCGTTAATTTCAGTCTGCGGTCTGAGCCCTTGAGGTGCTCACATGAGAGAAGGCGAAATGAAAATCAGGTCGACCTGAGTTCATTTCGGTTGTTCAGGTCGGTCTGAAATTTCAGGTCGACTTGAAATCCGCATGTGTGCAGAAGAGAATTTCAAATCGGGGCGAAAAATAAATTGCTCTTTGGGATTCATGCTTAATGATTTTGGTGCCGTTTGACCATTGAATTGAATCTAACATTCTAAGTATCTGCACAAAACACGACTTTTTCTTCTTTAGCAAGATTGATTTTCTGATGAAGATGGCTTATTTGAGAAATAAGTTGAGGAAGCAAAACAAAAAGAAGTTGCAAAGCAGAGACTAATCAACCAAAATCGATTTCAATACTGATATAAAATATGAATTATTTTGCGCCATGTTTGTTTTGAACTGAATTGGCAATAAATGCGGATGTGCGAAAGCCTGTTGAATTTCAAGCCGGTTGGAAAATGTTCATGTGAGCGGGAGTCAAATTAGCACGCACCATCAAATTTCAAGCTGATCTGAGTTTCAGACCGGCCTGAAATTGTTCATGTGAGGGGGGTCTTAGTAGACACAAACTTTCATAACATGATAAGCAATACATCGATTATTAATCAGATCTTGAATTCTACTATATATCTTATTTATTAGATTATTAGCGGCTCTTGTGTATAAGCCAATCTCAATAGTAAGTTTGGTAAAAAAAAGATTGACGCAAACGCTGATAAAAATGATAAATATTTTTTGCAAAATATATACCCAGTTGTGGATCAAAATAGGCCAATCAAAATCACGCAAGCACAAGACCGGTACTATGGTGTTCAATAAGTAATTTATCACGGCTATGTAAATTGAATAATTACCGTTTTGAAGACGTAACTATCAAGCAAGTGTTATTTATGCATTTTCGTGTCAATTGCTATCAAAAATATTCGATTTAATGCCATTCAGAAAATCTTTGTGACGCAATTTGAAGACGCCGTAGCATTTCTCAGTGGCTCTTGCACATTTGGAAAAAGCATTTTTGTGACCACACCCCTAGACCCAGCATTTGTTTGTTTTTTATTTTCTTCTTTGTAAAGTAGTCAGATTTAACTCTGGACCGCTATTGAGAACGACTTTCAAATCTTAAATATTTATGACTAAAATTCTTTAGAATTTAATAATTACAAAATATGCTGCCAAGGAAACGTTTATGTTAAAAATTTAGCAGTGGCCTATTGGGTTCTTGTAGCAGATATAGACTAAGTAAGCGCTTTAGCAACCAATATCTAATTTGAAGACTTAAAGCTAGAAAAAAGATATAAGTTGACAATGTGTGATAATATCTATACCATTTTACAGTTTTACTTTTGCACAGTATGATGTTCAATAAGTAACTTAACACGTCTATGTTTATTCCAAAGGTGCATTCAAGTCTCTGCATTTGAAGTGTACTATAATCATTTTGTTGGAAAAGATAATGTAACAACAGCTGCAATAACAATAAGATGAATCATTAAAAATAAACCAAATTTAGCTTAAAGTGAAAGTGCAGAATTCACATGAATTTTCTTTTAATATGCAACAACATGAAAAGATCTAGTGCAAAGTGCCCAAAAGCTTTTCATTATTGCTTAGCTTTGAAGATATATACAATCCTATACGAGGGAATATTGCAATGGGTCAAAAGCTCTATTCGAATGGACTCATACATTGAAACCATTGACACATGAACCAAAGAGATCACTGCGCCTCAAATTTTCTGGAATGGTCAGATTTTTTCGGCAAGAATTTATGAGAAATGATCAAAATCTAACTTTCGAACAAATAATATTTACTTCTGGTACATCTGTAGCCATAATTACTTTACCTCTATTAATTTGAAGAGCTTGCCTTGCTATGTGGAGTGGCTACAGGTGAAAAAAGCTTCTCTTCTTCAAAGAGAGCAAACATTAATTTTATCTCTACAATAGAGCTACAATAGAGGTTGTGTTAAGAGCAATTTCTAATGGCTAATTGAGGCCAAAAGCACATGAAGGGATCCTTTGCTTCTGCAAAGAAAAGAAAGCAGCCTATAGCTGAGCAACTACTTTAAAGAATTGAATTATGACGAAATGCAGGGCAATTTAAACCGTTTATTCATTTAATCTCAAGATATTTTTTTATAAGGTTAACACAATCCACTCGTTTGTTTTGATCTTTTATAAAAATTGTTTACGGTGGCGTAATTATGAGGTACTTATGTCGATATGGGAGCCCCAATTATAATTTTTCGGCTAGGTCCTCAAAATTATCAATGCAGCCCTGATTAAAGTAATCACAAAAAATTGAATCAAGGGTAGTATATTCCAATCCAATGTTGAGTGGTGCTGCTGGCATTGGCAGTGCACCTAAATGCTGAGTTTATGCCATAATAGAATCCAAAATTATCTTCAGTTAAAACGGATCCTTCTTTTGCTTGCAAAAAATTGGTATTTTCTTGAGAGTCAATGTGAAGATGGGCATTTTCAGGTTGCCAAAAGTTGACCAATTGATCTTTAGCGATGTGCCCTCTAATGTTTACCAACTCAACAAGTTTAGGCGATGCATTTACGTAACAGCAAAGAGGATCAAATGCAGAGAGTTTGAATCTGGCATAATCTCGATAATCAATACCAAAAATATCGAAACTGCATGTTGCTCTCCAGTGGGTTGATGTTGACTTGATTTTCTCCATCCTTGTCTTGCTGAGTCTAGAAAGGTGTAAAACAAAAAATTAAAAAGTTTGATGATTGTTTCAGCTGCGCTAAAATACGGTAGAGACACCCTCTCTTACTTTTGTTAGAACTATAGAAAAAATGGATTTGAAAGTTGCTGAAAATTCAGATCACACAAATCCATATCTTAATATACATTTATCACTTTTTCAAAGAAATATCTTTATTGGTGGTTGAGCTGTCGAAAGTTGCTTGATCATTGCATAACATATCTTCGAAATCTCCTCTATTAGAATGTCTGAAGAAAAGTTTGTTTCACGAATTCACTCATAAAAAGAATATCGATCAAAATACTTGGTACCCCCTTTACATAGTCAGACGAAGCTCTTTAAAATTTTTGAGGATGTAATATAGGTAATTACATGAACTTCTAAAAAGACTACTTAGTGCCTCCCCTCCGTCGTAGTCTAAAGGATGAAAAAGTATTCCCTTGCACAACACTTTCATTGAAATTTAAAGCATGCAACTGTAAGAAGACCTAACCTGTAATTGTCCCAGTTTGGAGAATCTTCCAAGTACGGGAAATCAATTGTGAATGGCCAGTCTTTGAAAAGACTATTTTTACCCAGAGAGAACGATTCGATCAGGGTCCATACTGAGTTTGGTTCTGATATGAAGTCGCAGTAAACGTTGAATTCAACTCCGTCATCATCTGATATTCTGTATATCCCATTAATCATTGCAGAGTCGTATCGCCAATCAAGACATGAATACTTTCCTTTAAGTAGAAATTCAAGAAGATAATAAAATCATTAGTGAATTGTAAAGAATGCATTGAAATCTCAAGATGCAAGGAAAAACGATTTTTTTAATGGCTTTGCACTTCAATGTATTTAAAGCGAATTGTAGTGAATAATCCTTTCTTAACAAGCAGAACATGGATTATTTTGTTATTATTTCAATTTTCAAATTAATAACATTGATATATAAACAGCCAAATATAAATCAAAATCTTTCAAACCAGGGATCAACTTTCATACTTCTGGAAATCTTGAAAAATTTCATAGGAGAATTCTAGCCAAATAAAAAAGCCCTAAAGTCCACAATTCTTATTATTGAAAAATACCTATCACTTTCTCATTAATCAATATTAAAATCAAACTGGCTGATATGCTTCTTAACTAACAATAATCCTAATGTTATGTTTAATAAGAGTTCTCCAAAACTTTACTGTATGAAAATTGAAAATACTTTTTCTTTTCCATATTATCAGCTTTCTCCGGTCTTGAGTTATATCTCCTTCCTTATTGTGTGTTTCATACTTGTTTGTTGTCATATCCTTCACCACAAAATTGCACGGATTACTTTTACTACATTGGTGAAACGATTTATGAAACATGCTGGTCAGATCCATATGTGGGTTGTGAATAACTTCGAACATTGCTGAGCCTCGATTATCCTCCCCGTGGATTACTTGGCTCAAAGTAAGCACAAGTAGACAACGTGTCAGGAAAACATACTTTCTTGTTGACATATTCTGCAAAGTAAAAGAAGCAAATACTGTTAATAGTTTATTTCTATTTATTTATAAAAACGTCTGCAAAACGTGATATCTTCCTAGATCAAAATTCAATGTGCTTCTTCTCAATAAACTGAACTTTGATTTGGTTTCCAAAGTTGTATTCATAGACGGTTCTTTCTGGACTGAAAGTGTTCTTCGTGAGATCATTTCTTTCAAGAATGAGAAAGGTCCATTACTTTTCTTTATCCTAATGGCATTTCGAAGATGTTAGATTTGAAGCAATTCATTCAGATGTGGCAGTCCATACAGCTTTCATTTTTACACCCTTTCATTAGCTACATCTGATTATTCATGGATACACTTCACTAGCACACCGATTAAATAAATGCTTTTATGCCAGACATTTTCATATGTTCGTCGGTAGGAATTCTTGCACGGACATTTTATCGTTTTTAACAGAGCTGCCAATTCTATTGAAAGTACTTTGTCCGGATTCAATGCAATTCAATGGCCATGAAAAACCCAATTATTTAGCTATCTGATAGGCTCGTTCTTCCAATCGTCGAACTTTTCCAGTGCCAAAACTAATTCAATTTGGTTCTGCACATGGATTTCTTTGGGCGACTCCCGTTGCAAACGTCGAACTTTGTTGTGCCGCTCGCCGGGCTTAAGTCTATGAATATCAGGTTTGATTGCGGACATTTAATATGGCCCGAAAACATGCGTTTTACATTTGTGAGGAGATTGCTGATTGAATCCAGAAAGAATTAAAGATTGGCAGAGGCAAGATTGAAGATTATAGTGAAGCAAAGAAGAAGGAGAGTTTTAGTGGTGCTACTTGTTGTCTTGTTCTCGACAGCAGCCCAATAATGGTGTTGTAAGCTTCCATTATTTCAGGATTTCACGATAAAGAGGGCAAGAATTGAATTTTGACGATTTTTTTATAACACAACAAAACAACTTCTTATATATAATACTTAGAGAATACGGTTACACTTTTCTTTCCTAAACTATGACTCTCTCGTCTACCCTCATGAAACCTCCATGACGAGTCCTTAGCACGATGCTCACTGTTGAGATATTCACACGTGGTTACTCTCAAATCTAATTAAAGGCATGATATAATTTCGGCGCACGGGGGTACGCTTCATAATTCTAACACACTCCCCCGGTTGAATACTTGTAATTCAACAAGATATAATTAATTTCAACAAAACAGAACAATAGCATTATAATGAATTTCCAATAATTAATAACAATCGTCTCTTCTTCTAATTTCTCCGATTATAGCAGCGTTTCTTTTTGCCTTTCTACTAGATACACTAATCTCTGCTTGGTCTTTGTCTGGTACAGTTTCTAACCTAGTACTATCAGTTTTATTTTCTGAACTACATTCACTAAGTTGAACTTCTAGCGGGATAAGATGTTTTAACGACCTGGTTAAAATAGATGTACCCTTCCTATTTGGGACCTTGACCTTGGCAGCACGGACATTCTTATCATTTAAACGATTTATTTGTTGTACCCTATTTCTTACGAATTGTTTCCACGGTTTATCGTTACAAATCCAGCACAAAACCGTGTACGAATCCACCCATAATGTTGTAGTGAAGGAGTTCATACCCAACTCCTCTGAAAGGACTTCCTTCACGTTACTAATGTGTTGAGCTAATAAATGAGCACCCATTAATTCCAGCCTTGGAATTGTTTGACGTGACAAGGGTGCTACCTTTGCCTTAGATGTTACAAAACGAGTTACCAGAGTACCGTCTTCATACTCTATCCTGATATAAATTACACAACCGTAAGCCTGTTCGCTAGCATCAGAAAATCCATGTAATTCTATATTACTTATTTCTGTCTTGTTAAAATAACACCTGGGAATACGAACTGAGGATAGGCTTTCTAGCTCCCTTAGGAAGGAATAAAACTGAAAACGTGCACCCCCCTGCAAACCTTCATCCCAGTTTATTCCTTCTAAACAAAGTGTTTGAAAGGCTACCTTCATTCGCACGATGAATGGACTAAGTGCACCTAATGGATCAAACAATTTTGCACATAACTTCAAAAGTGAACGTTTTGTTACAGGCAAACTTTTTCCGTAAGAAATAACATCATTAAACTGGAAATACAATTCGTCAGAATCATTGTCCCAATTTATGCCTAAAATCTTATTAGTAGTATGAATACCTACCATTGTGTTGGCAAACGAAGAATCTTCCTCTTGTAATTGAGTTTCATTCTGTTCTATTTCTTTGCCCATTGTCGTCTTGGATTTGGAATTACTCTCACATTCTAACTCAACTGTTAGTTGTTTTCGCAATTCTGCTGAGTTAGAATTAAATTTCCGCAAATTAAAAGCCCCTTCAGCCAATATTGTTTTAGACGTGCGAGCAATATCCAAGGCGCTGTCCGATGTTTTGGTACTGCACGATAAATCGTCCACAAACAAACGGCCTAAAACTTCTACAGTTTTTGGAAAACGTGCAACGTACCCTTCCAAATGTTTCCTTATTGTAGCGCCAAGGATGCTTGGAGAAGGGCGTAACCCAAATGGAAGACGACAAAATCGAAACTGGATTACGGACGGTTTATCTGACTCAATGTCACTAAACCATAAAAAACGCAATTTATCACGATCACTTTCTCTAATTTCCACTTGTAAGAAGGCCTTTTCTATGTCTGCTGTAAGAGCATATGAATGACACCTAAATCGAAGTAATACATCCAACAAATAAGGAAGATAATTAGGCCCGTTCATGAGACGTTCATTTAGTGATAAATGATTTGATGATGATTTTGCACTACCATCGTAAACTATTCTAAGCTTAGTAGTCTCACGGTCTGCCCGAACTACTCCGTGATGTGGTAAAAATTCTACATCTTCCTTGTTTTCTAGCTCAGCTGGGACCCTTTCTATAATACCGTTGTTAAGCTGCTCTTGAAAGATTTCATTGTACTTGCGAAAAAGTTCTGGATCCCTTTTAAAACGTTCCTGTGAAGCAACCAAACGATTAAGGCATAACGTATATTTACTATCGAAAACAGGCTCAACGATGTCATGTCTCCAAGGCAGATTTACCTCATAACGCTCTCCGTTATTTTTAATGTTGCAAGACTCTTCGAATGACGGTTCATGTCTAACGACGGGTTTATCAATGCCGCACCCCCAAATTTCTTTAAACGATTCGATAATCTCCTCATTAGGAGAACTAAAATGATCATCACCTGCAATTACGAGATTTGTAATGCTATTTAAACTTCCGCTAGGGTTGGAGTCCCCTGGTGAAGTTATGGGTCCAGATAAAAGCCACCCAAATTCACTGCTAACGGCTACCGGACCCGAATCCCCCTTGATAACTTCACCCTTCACAACACTATGATAATAATCGGCTCCAATTAATATCGATACACAATCACTGACGTTATTGAATGACTTATTGTCCGCAATATATAACCCTTGTAAATGTGGATAACAATCAACGTTAATGGGAGATGCACATGGAGAGCAAATGGTAGGATGGCTTAAGGCTGTTATTTCTACAGGTTTATCTTGTGTTTCTAACTTGAACTTAACTAGTACACACTTATGCTTCTGATAACTATTAGTCCCAAACGTATTGAGACTTAATACCTCTGTAGAAATAGGCGTTAACCCTAGCTTATCCTTCAACTCATTGGTAATGTAACTGCGCTGACTACCTAAGTCTAACAATATTCTAACTGGTACCTGATTTCTAGGCTCCACATAAGCGTTCGTTCGTGCCATTTGCAGCAAAACGTTCGATTTAACATTTCCTTGTGTTGTGGCAGTCACTGTTCTTGTGTCATGGTTCTCAGGTATATCACTGTTTCTTCGGTCCTTTCTTGCTCCTTTTCCTCCATCGCAAATCGACTGGTGATGGGATCCTCCGCAATTTCTGCAGCTTCGTTTTCTGTCACAATTTCTCGCCAAGTGTCTCGTGCTTAAGCAAATGAAGCAACGTCCTGACTTGTACAATCGTTCCTTTCGAACTTTCAAGTCGGTGACAATTGTGCACTCAGCAGTGTAATGTTTTCCTTCACAAAACACGCATTGTATCGGATTTTGACCTTTGACATGAAAGGATGACGCAGTTCCTTGAAAAGGTGGCCTTGTTTTCTGCACAGGTGGTGTCCTTTGATCCTTGACATTTATATTTTCGCTCATTTCACGCGCATCAACTTCCTGTTTGATAACTTCCATCACTTCACGTATTGACCAAACGTCCTTTGACACTTGTCTTGCGATCTGCAAACTTATTTCAGCAGGTATTCTCGACATGATAATAGGAATGAGGAGACTCCCATAGTGCTCTGATGTGATTCCTAATGCCTCGAGACTTCTTACGTGAACGTTGATGCGATCATAGATGGTACGAAGTTGATTAGCCCTGTCTGTCGAACACGTTTGTAGTTTAAGTAATTCTTCCATGTGCGAACTAATTATTTTCTGCTTATTGCCAAACCTTTCTTGAAGCAACTTTACAGCCGATTCATAATTTGCCTCAGTGACTGGGAGCCCTTGAATGGCTCTAGCCGCTGGCCCTTCTAAAAGTGAGTTCAAATAGTTGAACTTGTCTATGTTCGCCAGATCCTCATTTTGATGTACTGTGCTCTCGAATGACTCCCAAAAACTTGTGAATTTGACGATATCTCCATTAAAACGCTGTAAGTTTAGCTTTGGCAATTTCGGCTTTGCTACGATGTTCCTGAAAGATCGGGAGGGGGAGCTAAAAGCGGGCAACGGCTCAGGCCTTTCGGCCCCTGACGTTGCGGGCTCTGTTTCTCCCTCTCCTTCCTCATCAGGCCTGGGATAAATTTCCTGCGAAATTTCAATGACGGTTGAAGGTTCTCTTTCTAAAATGCAACTCTTAATTTTACTAACGACGAATTTTATGCCAAGTTCGATTTCATTTGATTGTAAAATGTCAGCTTCCAATCCCTGTACGTCTATTTTTCCAACGATTTCATTATCCAACGTTTGCAACAACTCAGTTTTGCTTTCTAACAATTTTCCGATCACTTCGAGCCGTGCCTTGCGCTCTTTGTTCCATTCATTGCTCACAATGATGGCTTCTGCTTCCTTTTCGAGGCGTGTCACAACCGATCTGTGTGCTCCTCGTGTCGCTTTCAGTCTTTCGAATTCTTCGACCATATTAAACGAGATTCTTGCCCACACTGTTGGGCGCCATTGTGTTGTAAGCTTCCATTATTTCAGGATTTCACGATAAAGAGGGCAAGAATTGAATTTTGACGATTTTTTTATAACACAACAAAACAACTTCTTATATATAATACTTAGAGAATACGGTTACACTTTTCTTTCCTAAACTATGACTCTCTCGTCTACCCTCATGAAACCTCCATGACGAGTCCTTAGCACGATGCTCACTGTTGAGATATTCACACGTGGTTACTCTCAAATCTAATTAAAGGCATGATATAATTTCGGCGCACGGGGGTACGCTTCATAATTCTAACAAATGGAGGCAAAGAGGACATGCGGAAGACTTCAACGCAACCAGTGCTGGTTGAATATCGTCTGGAAAATTATACTTGGTGGCAAGAACAGAACTTCTCATTTGCAGACGCCATCTTGGCTTTATTGATTCCAGGTTGATTCGCGCCGAAATTCAGTTATAGGCATGATTTGCCACAAAAGTGATTTCTGGGATATAAAATAAATTATGCATTGAGTTCGGTACATGAAAAGCCCAGTTGCGCTTTACTTGCGTAGCTCGCCAAGTTCTGCCAAGCGCAAATTTTTCTGCCGCCCTTAATTAAATTAGCCGTGCCTATCTGATTTAAACGTCGCACTTCGCATTCACTTAAAGACTCTTGAGCAACCGTCATGCTTAGCGGGTGTTGTATTTCATATATTCATACTTAATTCATAATTCATATATTTCATATTTCTATATCATGTTGTCTTGAGAAATTGACTATGTTTTGTATTTTCATGCAGTACTATTATAGACCGGTTCTTTAAATTAAAGTCGCAAAGCTTGCCAGTTGCCCAAGAGCCTATAATTCTCGATTTAAGTTCGGCAGGTGAGAAAGTCGAAAGACGAATGCGTAACTTTATGTCGATCATCAACGTGACTCGGAAGCCACTCTTGACGATTGACTAACGGAACATTGAGCAAGGGAACAAACAAAACATTTCAACGCAAATTTTCCGCTTTTCAATGGTCGTTGCATTTTATCAAAAGAGATTAGCAGGCGTGGATGACAGGTTTCAGAAAACCGATCAAATTCTCAGAGCTATGTTGCTTCTGTGAATCTTGAATTTTTATCTAAAATTTCAATTACGACTATTGCTGTATTTCTTCCTGTCTCACTACAGTGCATCTGCTCCCTTGTTGCAAAGATTTTGACAAAGTTTCCAGTTTTTTAATTCATCTTTTATCCAAAATTATCCGAATAATTTGAAAGGACAGTTTTGAGTCAGCTATCTTTGCTCCAATATTGAACCCGATGGCTCCATAGCTCAAAAGATATATAAAAGTCATTCCATTCCGGTTTACGAATCTGTTTGCTCAGCGCAATATTTTATGGTATTACGCTTGTATTCATTGTGAATACAATAATACTTGAAGCAGCAATAAACAAAATGAAATATTATGTTCTATTGTTAGAAATACTCGAGCTTTACACATAATTAAAGTCAGTGGGTAAGAAAGTTTTGAGCCTTATGTTAAACTGTAAAAGGAATGCATTTCAATGCATATAGAGAGTATGAGGAATTAAAGTAAAATTCGGATATGTTGACTTACCAGCAACTCTCTTCAATGCGAAAACAAGACGTAGATTTTGCCTGATTTAGAAATGCGTATCACTGGCCCGGCGTCGTCAACTTGGTCTGAGATACTGAGCACTGGAGCTTCATAAACAAAAGTTTATATTTGGTTGCCATGCCAGAAATCAATTCAATTCAAGTAACAAGTCAATAAAAAAGTCAAGTTTATCTTTAAATAATTAAGTCAGTATGGAGATTGTATCAATGAAGCAATTGCCGAATTAAATAGATATCCACTAGGGCAAAGCTAACTAATTATTTATTAATATCGTGAATCGTATCAAAAGATAAGTAAAGTGCCGTCATTCCCAATCATTAAAAGTAGATAATTGTATTCATTTTCCATAAACAGACTTAACCATTAATCAAACAGCTATAGTTAGAGCAGAAGTGGTGAATCAAGAAGTTTTTAGCCTGTTTTCCAGACCCCCCGAACTTGAAAATAGAGGGTCTGTGTAACCGAGAGCAATATCGCGTACGAGCTTTTCCAAGGATCTCTGGGAAAATTAATTATGCGTAAATTATGCGGCTTTTACATGACAAAAGTGAGCAATGGCGTAAACAGAGCGTTGTTTGCTGGGACAGTTTACGCATTCAAATAGTGACAAGAAATGTGTGGAAATTCAAGGTTTCTCCTTATTTTGTCAGACAATGCCACAATAATGTCTGAAAGCATTGAATATATCATGATGCCTAGATAATTGTCGCCCGGCTCGAGGATGGAAACACTTCAAAAACCGGAGGATGAATTTTAATCAAAACACGCTTTTTGTTAATAACTCTTCTCTTATGTGTTAATGAACTTTTAAAAACATTTTTAAAACGTGTTTATAGCAAAGCAATCACTATCATGATGGAAAGAATTTATGAAAAGTACAAGGAATGGGCCTAGGCCTATTGCCTCACATTGCTAAAAAAATTAGTCCACTCAGTTAGGCAGCCTTGTCCGGATCAATGATAAATGTTTACTAGACTTGAGCAATTTCCACTGTATGAAAACTTGGGTTTATAACCAGAGATCATTCTCTACGGTTTGAAGCCAAAGCGTCTTGTCTAATTTTCGGTTTCCATTACTTATCGCTACTCCGAAAGTCATGTTTTCCGTCATCGTATCCACCAGATCTTGTCTCAAAAAGTCCTTCTTTACATTAAATTCGAGCCAAAATAGAAAATAAACATCTTCTACCATGCAAAATGGTCAGAACCAATGAATTGTCCCAATGAAGATCTTCAACATCAAATAGCAGAGCAACATTTTCAAAACTTTTCTTCTAACAAATAAATCTATATCATACAGCCACGACCGATCAAAATATTAGCGCTTCTTCTTGCATGATTACACAGATGTGTGATAATTATGCAAAAAATTCAATTCAATCCCGTACGCGATTTTGCTCTCGGTTACACCAACTATGGTTACACAGACCCTAGACTCCATGAGCCTCTGTTTCGCTACTGCCTCACTTGACGGACGCTACAACAGAGACTCATAATCCAAAGTATTCAAAAACTGGCGCTCAGGACAACTTTTTGTCCTACCAATCACAGAGCAGATTTTCAAAATACGGCTTTCTGATTGGCTGGAACCTCAATTTCTTTCATAACGAGGTATCTTTTTAAAAACATCCTAACCCCCGTGTTGTTAGCGTTACAAAATGTCACTGTCAAGAAATGGCAGAAAACTGTTGGCTGTTTTCGAAGATTTTGAAAGTGAATTCTATCGCAAAGGCTGCAATACTGTAAACTGTAATTTGAAACTCTATATAAACATGGGTACACATAAAGTAATGCTCCTGCGCATATTCAATTAGGTTACTACACTTAGATGAAATAAGGAAAAGAAGCGCGATGGCAAATTTTCGTCAGTAATTTCAACATAAAGATCAAAGTAAACATCCTACAAATGTATGTATGGTCAATTTTTACTTATGGATGGAAGCAGCACGGACCATTGGGAAAGTGATAAAAGACAAAATACAGGCATTTGCGCTATGGTGTTACCGGAGAATGTTGAAAGGCATATGGAGAGATGAGAAAGTGCACAGAAAATGCAAAACAACCTCTAAACTGAACAGCACCATTGCAAAAGGGAATGCTGCGCTTTTTGGGCCTGTTGCACGAAGATCAAGTGACACAGTATCTTCTAACATCATGGAGAGGTTTCTTCCAAGTATGAGATCTCGTGGAAGACACAGAAGGATGCGGATCAGATAGATGATGTAAAGGGGTAGGCGAACATCTGGAATTTTGGTATGGTGAAAGGATGGTCAAATGATAGGGCTTGGTGGAAAAGTATTGTTAGCGACCTACCGACCACGTAGATGCTAATATGAATGACTGAACTATTTCTATAATTAAGCAAAAAAAATTTCATCATGCATCTGCAGTCAAGATATCAGACATAAATTCACGAGTGAGCATAATTAAATCACAACACCTTGCACATTTTATCTACGCTAGCTATGAAAAGTCTTAACCAACTGTCACTGTCATAATCAATATCAATGGTAAATAGCTCACACCATGAAAGGACATTGTCACCACACTAGAAACAAAACAACAAATCTTTTGTGCCCTTTTATGGTATCACCCACATGATTGCAACATCAATTAATTTGCAAATAGCAGATTGATATGTGGTTTGGAGGTTATGATCAAAGAGTCTCCTTAATATCAGTATTCAATCTCCACAGATGAATTGATTGAATATACCTTGAAAAACTTGACTGTTTTATTGGCTTGTTGCTTGGATTGATTTCTGGCATGGCAACCAAATATAAAGTTTTGTTTATGAAGCTCCAGTGCTCAGTATCTCAGACCAAGTTGACGACGCCGGGCCAGTGATACGCATTTCTAAATCAGGCAGAATCTACGTCTTGTCTTCGCATTGAAGAGATTTGCTGGTAAGTCAATATAAACTCTGTGAGTTGTAGTAATATGGAAAGAAATACTCTCTTCGAATAACAACAGGATCTGTAATTCTAATGTGTATCTAACGTGCTCGCATGCTTGCTTATTCTAGTTAATCCCTTTTTACCCCTGTGTCCAATACATAACATACGTCATTACTACATCACCCCCTTTTTTTTTAAAACAAAACAACACAACAGAACAATAGGAATATGAAGATATAGAAACGTAAATGTTACCAAATATTAATAAGAAAGTCCATGTCCATATCGCACTGGTGCTCTTCTTGTTCTATTTGATCTCCTATATTCACATGCTGGTTCAGGTTCATTATTACGCTCCTCTTCGCTACTATAATCCATTTCATTAATGTCCGGAATCTGCTTAAAGTGCGAAACATTTCGTGTAATACGATGTCGTTCTTTGTTTTCTGCAACAACTGTCGTGCCTTTACGAGCAATCACTTTGTATGGAGTAGTATTGAATTTGGGCATTAGTTTCTGCTTCTTCTCTTGTTGTACAAGAACAGTATCTCCAACCTTGATCGAACTTTCTTTGGCATTGCGATGTAAATCTGCATAGGACTTATTGTAGATACAACGCTTCTGCTCATTATCTTTAGCTTCTTTATGCCGATTAACAATAGTGCGAGGTTTTAATGTTGGTAATGCTCCACGAACTGTTCTGTTGAACAATAATTCGGACGGTGGTACCTTGGTCGTACTATGTGGCGTTGTTCTATATTGCAATAGAAACCTGCATAGCTCTTGTTGCCATTTCTTTCCTTCTACAACTGCTGTCGTTAGCGCTTTAGCTAATGGTTGCATGAAGCGTTCGACTTCCGCGTTACCTTGTGGCCATTTTGGAGTAGAGCGAGTAAACTTTACACCCAACAATTTCAAATAACGAGAGAACTCATCTCCATTGAAAGGTGGTCCATTATCAGACGTTAATTCAAACGGTATACCATGGACGGCAAAAATCTTATCCAACTTGGGAATCACTACAGAACTTTTGGTCGAGCGAACAATTTCCACCTCTGGATAGCGGCTATATCTGTCTATGACAACCAGAAGTAGCTCGCCAGATGGAAGTGGACCAAGAAAATCAATGTTAATCTTTTGCCAAGGTGCACTTGGCATTTCCGTCATGTGGAGTGGTTCAGGAGGACTACTTCTCCCGACCGCTTGACAAGGCACACATTTTGTGATAGTCTGCTTGACAAGTACATCAATGCCAGGGAACCAGATCTTTTCACGTAGAAGTGCTTTGGTTTTCTCTAATCCCTGGTGACTTACATGGGCTAAGTCAACTGCTTTCTTGTGCAAAGATTCAGGTATAACTATTCTGGCACCACGTAGTATTATATTTGATGAATCAATAGACAGTTCATCTTTGACAGGTCGAAAAGGTTTAACAGTATCAGCATCCCAACGATTGAGACGAATTGCAGCTCGAAGTGCTTTTAAAACTCTGTCTTTATCTGTCTCTTCGCGAACTTCAGAAAGAGTCATTGACTTCGGAACAGCGTTTTGTACTATAAAATGTACATATTCATCAGCAATCTTGCTTTGTTTTCCAGTGTTAGACATAGAAGGGTGTCGTGATAGAAAATCAGCCTGATTAGTTGGTCCTGGTTTATACTTGACTTGGAAATTGTACGGCTGTAGGCGAAGAACCCATCGCTCAATTCTAGCACATGGTTTTGAGTTTGCCCTCCCATATATCATTTCTAAAGGCTTATGATCCGTTTCCAGTGTAAATGAATGACCATAAAGATATAAATGGAAATGTTCTATGGCCCAAACAATGCTAAGAGCCTCCTTCTCCGTTTGAGAGTACCGACGTTCTACGGCTGATAACGCTCGGCTAGCATATGCAACAACTTTACCTTCTGCATCACATGCGGATCTTTGAGATAGTATTCCCGACAAACCCACTGGACTGGCATCAACTGTTAACACAGTGTCCTTCTTAGCATCAAAATATGCCATAACTGGTGGTTTAGTAATAGCTGCTTTCAGCTTGTCGAATGCGGTTTGGTGCTTTTGTTCCCATGTAAATGTGACACCTGTGTTTGTCAATTCACGGAGAGGGGTAGCAATGGTGGCAAAGTTGGCGACATATTTGGAACTGAATGTCACCATGCCTAAGAAACTGCGCAGTTCTGATACATTTTGTGGTATAGCAGCATCAATAACATCCTGTGTTCTGCGAGGGTCAGGTCGTATACCTTGCTCTGAGAAAATCTGTCCAAAGAACTCTAACTCAGTATTCAGAAAACTGCATTTCGACTTGTTCAAGGTAAGACCTTTCTCTTTAAGGCGTTTAAGGCAATTTTCAAGAGCCTGATCATGCTCTTGACGTGTACTTCCAAAGACTAGGATGTCATCGGCTATATTCTGAACACCAGCCATTCCTTGCAAGTGTTGCTGTGACGTATGTTGAAATAGTTCAGCGCTTGCATTAGTTCCGAAGTTCAAGCGGGTATAACGATATAGTCCGAGATGAGTGCTAAAAGTAGTAATGAAACGACTGTCTGGGTGCAACTCTAATTGATGATAAGCCTGGGACAAATCAAGCTTTGAAAAGAATCTAGCACCATTCAACTCTAAACTGATATCAGCTACTGTTGGAATCAAGTGACGTACACGTTTGATTGCAGTGTTTGCTGCGCGCATGTCTACACATATTCTGACATTGCCATCTTTCTTGGGTACTGCAACTATTGCTGATACCCATGGCGTTGGTTGAGAATCAGGCACCTTTTCAATAATTCCTTGACTTTCAAGCTCTTTTATGGCTACCTTGACCTTTTTCCTAATGTGGAAAGGAATTCTACGTTGTGGCTGAGCAACTGGAGGTACACTTGAGTCAATGTTCAATTTAACCTGGTGATTCTTTAATTTACCAAGGCCTTGAAACACAGAAGAATACTGTTGTAGAATTTTGGCTAGACTGTCGTCCTGGAGATTTTGGCTTTGTACTGCATTTAATTGAAGCTTGATAAGGCCTAATTCCTGTGCAGTCTGAAGTGAGAGTAAACATCCGCTGTCCTTCCCTTTTACCACATAGACTGTTCCCACAGTGCATTTCTTCTTGGTTTCAATAATGCTTTCGAATTTTCCAAGAAACTCAACTGGTATTTTACTCTGATAAGGATATGCCTTCGTGCTTGTGCGCAGGAGCTTAACATTTTTTAGATTTGCAAAAGTGTCAGCATCAATCACATTTATTGCAGCACCACTGTCCACAAGAGCTTTGAATTTGTGACCTGCAACAGTAATCCATACTTGTGGTGTGCGTGGACTGGCTGAAGACATTGCGTACATATATTCATCCTCAGAACTAGAAGAATACTCAGTATGTTTGAGTGGGCGAATTCTTGGTTTGTGCTTTCGATGTGATCTGCTTCCTTTGTTTCTGCGATCTATTTTGTCTCCTTTACTTTTACAAACGACCGCAAAATGACCTTGTTTACCACAGCTTCCGCATTGCTTTCCTTTTGCAGGGCATTCCCCTTTGTGAGGGTAGTCCCCTCCGCAAGTATAGCATTTCTTGCCTTCTTTGTTGACAGATTTAAAAGGATGTACAACAGCAGCAGTATTCTCATTAGATTCAATCTCTCGAGTTTGAAAGGAACTCATTTCTTCACGTCTTCCATCCAGTAACATTTGTTTCAGATCGTAGGTAGGGTCACGTAGTGCCCTTCGACGAATTCGCGAGGAAATACCACCAACAACAATTTGCTGTTCGATTTCGAATTCTAAATCTTGAAATTCACATGCAGTAGAAAGGGCTCGTAAACGTGTATGATATTGATCTAATGTTTCCCCTTGCTCTTGCTTGGTCTCACGAAACCGATAAACCTCATAACGGTGATTCTTTTGAGGCTCGAAGTGGGTGGTAAGCTTCGTCTTCGCTGTATCGTAATCATCAGCATTCCCTACATCTTGTAAATGTTGAAAAATTTCCCGAACACGACTGCCTGCCAGGTAAAGTAATAAAGCACGTTTCCTTGTTGCATTGGTAATTCCACTGGCAGTTAAAAACATTTCAAAATCTGCAAGCCATGTCCGCCATTTTGAAGCAAGACTCGCTCCTAGTTCAGCATCGGGCTGAAACTCGGGCACTGGAGGTATTTGGAAAC